AGGGAAAGAGTAAAGTGACAACTCTCTGGCTGGGTGACTGTGCTAAGTAGTGCCAGGTCTTTACAGCTCTCTGAAACCAGCCTGGGGAACTCCAGAATGTGAATATTGACCTTCTCTGGAGCACACTTTGGGGCTCTCTAGGTTTCTTTCTTGCTCTGTTTCCAAGCTGAACACACAGGCATCCAAAGCAGCTCAAGAAGTGATCTAAGTGGTCTGTAAATACCCTAGAGGGACCCCTTTCCCTTACCTCCCCCTCTTCATCCCATACATCTGCACTTTGTCTTCCCTTGCTTCCTGCCCCAGCCAGGTGAGATGGTCCCTGGTGGGGGCTGGAGCCTGGTGCAGATGGGACAGAGGGAGAGTCTGATCAGGCATCCAGTTGGAGGGAGGGTTGATAGAAGTTTGGAATGGACCTGCTTCTGCTCCTGTGGATGGATGACTGGAGGGTCTGGGCGCCTCGAGGGCGGGGCTGGGTTTTAGTCATACTGAAACCTGGTTGTCCCGCTCAGAGGCCAGCCTGGTGGGTATGTAAGATGGTAACTAAATAGCCTGGAAGCCGATTGGGCACAGCTAATTCCCAAGGCGGCTGTGAGATGGCAGAATTCCAGTGAGGACGGGAGAAGCCGGCAGAAGTCTGGGCAGGGCAGGCGGACCCTCAGCGCTCACCCCGGGCTAGGCCAATGGGTGGTACAATTCCTGGGGGCGCTCCTTGTGTTGCCTTCTATGAAATGGTACCTGCTGGGGCTGTGCAATGCTCAGCCTTGCCTGAGATCCTGAGTTTTGGGTTGCCTGGTGGTGCTGGCCAGGAAGGGGGAGCTAAGCTGTGTCTAACGTCGACCTCTGCCTACAGCAAAAGGGCTTCCTAAAAGGCCAGACACTGGACCTAGCCTGGGCTAGGGCTGAAGGCTGGCTTTACTATGTCGCCACTGTATGACCTTCGGCCAACTGCTTTAAAAAACAAAAAACAAAAGAAACTCTTTGTGCCTCAGTTTCCCCATCTGTAAAATGGGGACAGATTAAATGAGTTAATACAAAAAAGTACTTAGAACAGGGCCTACACTGTCAGTCCTTAATACATGTTAGCTTTCATGATAAATACTGTTGTGGTCATTATTATTATTTTCCTTGGCCATTGAGTTGGAGAAGGAGTTTGCTTCAGGAGGGACATGACGTGGTGAGGACGGGCAGAGATGGGAGTAGGAGATGGACACCACCTGTACCTGGCCCTGAGCTGGACACAGGGAGCAAGTGATGAGGCCTGCAGGAAAAGCTCAGCCAGAGAATGTTGTGATGCAGAAGGGGGAGGAGGGGCAGCGCACGGGGACTCAGGAGAGTTCCAGGATGACCTGTAATCCCAGCACTTTGGGAGACCAAGCTGGGCGGATCACTTGAGGTCAGGAGTTCGAAACCAGCCTGGTCAACATGGTGAATACTAAATGCAAAAAATTAACCAGGCACGGCTAATTAGCGGGCACCTACAGTCCCAGCTACTCAGAAGGCTGAGGCAGGAGAATTGCTTGAGCCTGGGAGGCAGAAGTTGCAGTGAACTGAGGTCATGCCACTGCACTCCAGCCTGGGCAACAAGAGCAAGACTCCATCTCAAAAAAAAGAGAGCGAGAGAAACGATCTAGCAATATATAAGGTGCTGGGTGCTTATGCATTTTATCTCATTTAATATTCACATGTTCAGGACATTTAATATTGTTGATGATTTATTCCTATCATCAACAACTGTTATTATCCCTGTTAGGGATGAAGAGACTGAGGGTCACGGAAGGGAAGTAATTTTCTCAAGGTCACGCAGCTGGGAGGTGGTGGAGACAGGAGTAGAACCTTCACCCACCCTCCAGGTTGCCCTCCGCAGGTGGGAAGAGTGGGCGTGCTGGGCTGAGAATCGGGGCAGGTCTCCTCCGGGCTCTGCCTCTGCTTTGCTGTGTGATCTCCACTCGGAGCTTCTTACCCCTCTTCTGTGGAATGAAAGGGGAGCTAAGGAGGAGGGTGTCTGAGGGGTGAGAGACGGGCCTGGAGGAAAAGCAAGGGCGAGCAGGAGGGGCCGTGACCTCAGCAGGCTGGGTGAGGTCCCAGCTCAGGAGCATCCTGGGAGCTCTGGTGGACCTGGCCTGGAGCTAATTAGCTGCTGGGAGGGGAAGTGCAAGGGCAGCGACCTTGCGGGGGCGGGCCGACATCCCGCTGGCCCTGACACCAGGCCCAGCACCCACGAACATCTGGCCCGCTCTCATGCAGGCCTGGAGAGAGGCTCGGTCTGAGGGTCAGAGGTGGGGTGCAGATTGGCGGGGAGGACCTAGCTCTGCCCTGGGAGTTATGGGACCTTGGACCAGTTTCCCCATCTATCCCAGTGATAGAGGAATCTGGCAGCCCCCTCCATGGGCCCCCTTCCAAACCTCACATTCCCTGGGCCTGCGAGTGTGGGGAGGGGTCAGGGAGATGGGACATCCCTGGAGGCCGGGGACGCAGGGCGAGGCCTGTGGGAGGACAGCTGAGGTGAGCCGGGGAGAGGACTGCAGCGTCATGAAGACTTGCACTTAGAAAGAGCCTTTTAGGGCTGGGTGGCTCATGCCTATAATCCCAGCACTTTGGGAGGCCAAGGCAGGCAGATCACCAGGTCAGGAGTTCAAGACCAGCCTGATCAACATGATGAAACCCCGTCTCTACTAAAAATACAAAAATTAGCTGAGCATAGTGGCGCATGCCTGTAGTCCTAGCTACTTGGGAGGCTGAGGCAGGAGAATCACTTGAACCTAGGAGGCGGAGGTTGCAGTGAGCCAAGATCACAATACTGCACTCCAGCCTGAGCGACCGAGTGAGACTCCTTCTCAAAAAAAAAAAAGGAAAAAGAGAAAGAGCCTTGGAGAGCTAGCCCGTGGTTTGAGTCACTTAGGATCACTGCAGTGAAAGGGTGGCCAGGGGAGTGGGGTCCTTGTCCCGTCATCCTAGGCTCCAACAGCTTTCTTTGTCTACCTCCATATCTGTCTTCCACACTGGGTGTTGCACCGTCAGGCCTCTACTGCTAAGCCTGAAAATGCCTGACCCAGGCCAGCCCCATTTCACAGAGAGAAAGGCCCAGAGAGGGGAAGGGGTTGCTTGAGCCACAGCCAAGGAGGCTGAGGGGACCGCGGCAACAGAGGAGCGCCACCTCCACCTCCCTATCCGTGTAACTCCAGCGCGTCTGCCTCTGAGGAAAAGAGACCCGCAGCCTACCCAGATGTGCTCACGCCAGCGCAGAAGAGTGTGTCCAAGGTGTAGTCCGCCTGGACCACTGGCTCTCCTGGCATCTTGCATAGGAACCTACGCAGCTCCATATGTTCTTCACCCCTGGTTTCTCCCTCCTCAGAATTCCAGGCTGCTGAGCTTTTCATTTCGCTGTCCCTCAGAGAGGCAGAATCCATGTGCTGGGGAGGTCTGGAGATGCCTCTGGACTTCCCTGGGAGGTGCAACTTAAAAACAGAAAAGAAAAAAGGAAAAAAGAAACAAAACCGCAAATCCAACGCCTCTCGTCTGTCAGGTGGGGCCTGACAACATCCCGATGTCCCGTCGCAGCAGGATTGCCCCCACTTTGGAGGGGAGGAAACCAAGGCTCAGAGAGGAAACGGGTGCTCCTGATGTCCCCCGCTGGGACTAGAACCCAAGCCTGGAAGCTCCAAGCAGCCTGTGACCTACTCTGGTGAGGTTTTTCGCACCTCTCCCAGGGCCTCTTTCCTCCCCGACACAGAACAACCCAGATCTGCTGGGCCCACAGCATATGCCTCAGGTCTCATCTGACCCTCCCTGGGCCTGGACTGCAGTGAGCAGGGCCCAGACGGCCGTTTCAGAGACAAGGACAACACCTGCTGGAGACACATGAGCATGACATGCTGTGGCGTGTCACCCGGGGAAGGCCGGGGACACATGCACTGCCTGGCTTCCTTCCTCCCTTGGTGTGTATTTTATTTATTGAAGGCCTGCTAGATGCAGCGTCTCTGAGGTGTCAGAGACACTGAATGAAACCTGGTCTTTCCCCCACAAGAAATTTCCAGCCAAACATAGAAGGTGCGTAGCAATAATTGCAATGTAAAGTATGAAAACTAATGGTTTTCACTTTTTTCCCCCCTTTTAATCAGTGGAAATAAATTCCTGTGTGAAAATGTAGTTAACAGGCTAGGTGCAGTGGCTCACACCTGTAATCCCAACACTTTGGGAGGCCGAGGCAGGAGGATTGCCGAAGCTCAGGAGTTCGAGACCAGCCTGGGCAAAATGGCAAAACTGCGTCTCTACCAAAAATGCAAAAATTAGCAGGGTGTGGTGGCATGCTCTTATAGTCCCAGCTACTCCAGAGGCTGAGGTGGGAGGATTGCTTGAGCCTTGGAGGTCAAAGCTGCAGTGAGCTGAGATTGTGCCACTGCACTCCAGCCTGGGTGACAGAGTGTGACAGAGTGAGACCTTGTCACCAAGAAAACCAAAAGCAAAATGAAAAAAAGTAATTGACAATAATAGCCAACACTTAGTGAGTACTTACTATGTGCTAGGCGTGGTCCTAAGTGCCTTATCCAAATGAACTCATTTATTCCTCCCAGCAACCCTTAGGAAGCAGGTACAACATTAGCTTCACTTTACAGATAAGGAGACTAATGATCAGAGAAGACGAGTAACCTGGCCAGGGTCACACAGCTTGAGATGCAGAGTCAGGTTTTGATGCAGGCCGACTGACTTTGAAACCTTGTCCTTCATCTCAAGGTCATACTGCCTCTCTGTACACCTGGTACAAGTGAGGCTTCTCTGGCAGTAGGGGTTGGGGGGATGTGAAGTTAGGAACCACACTTGCTCTGCCCATCCCCCACCTCCTCTGGATTCCTAAGGAACCATCAAAAGCTGCTGATCCCAGCGTGGAAATCCATGCATACATGACATTGATAGGTCTTAAGCAGGGAAGAGGGAAAATTCTTTTTGAAGGAGAATTTGTGTCATTTTAATAAATTTTATGTACAGAAAACAAAAGTGTACATTTAACCCAGTTAAGTGGCAAGTTCTTTAACCTTTGCCTTTTCCAACTCGGTAATGCAAGCCGCAGATTTGGGAACCAGTACGTTTCTTCCCCGGTGATGACGGATCTCATCATTTCTGTCATTGTAATTAGTCCTGATAGCTTCCACCAGCTTAGTCAAAGCTCCTTTGTCTTTTGAGTTAACTTGTGTGAAGACAACAGTGGTGCAGGTCTTCCTGTGGACTGGACGTCCCAGTTGTGCCTTCCCCTTGATAATGCAATCAGAGACCCCCATTTTACAATGCAGGGCAGGCAGGAAGACAACAAGCTCAATGAGTAGTCAAGTGCTACTCAAAATGGTTAGGCCCGTTGTCTCCAAGCTACCCGCTGAGAGGTCATTGGCCCAGCATGCACACTCTTCTCTGCGGGAGGCAGCAGGCTGGCAACCAAACGTCTGCTCACAAGAAGTCATCACCGGCTGAGCCTTCTTGTTCTCCACCAAGGTGGTGACGGTGTTGACTCCTGCTTGAAGGACAGGTGGTCTCTTAGTAAGGATGTCCCCTTTGCTGTCAGCTTTCTTCTCAGCCTGGGCCAACAGCCTCTGCTTCTTCTCTTGCTTTGTCTGTGGTCTGTATTTGTGGGTCAGCTTAAGGAGCTGAGTAGCTGTTTGGTGGTGGAGGGCCTGAGTCAGCTGTTTGTTTGGTGGTGGAGGGCCTGGGTCAGCTGTTTGGTGGTGGAGGGGTCTAATTTGCATTTGTAACGTATAACTCTGACTGCTGAGAGGAGAAGGATTGTAGGGTGGCAAGAGTGAAAGCCAGGCCAAGTGTGGTGGCTCACGCTCATAATCCCAACATTTTGGTAGACCCAAATGAGAGGATCACTCGAGGCCAGGAGTTTGAGACCATCCTGGGCAACATAGCAAGACCCTGTCTCTAAAAAAAAAAAATTAAAAATTAGCTGAGTGTGGTGGCGCATTTGTAGTTCCAGCTACTCAGGAGGCTAAGGTGGGAAGATCACTTGAGCCCAGGAGTTGGAGGCTGTCTGCAGTAAGCTGTGATCACACCACTATACTCCTGCCCAGACAACAAAGTGAGACCTTATCTCCAAAAATAAAAAATAAAAATAAAAAAGACTGAAACCAGGGAGCTGAGTTGTCCAGTTAGGAGATGATTGCATTAAGCCAGGAGGGAGATGATGGTGACTTGGAACAAGAGGGTGGAAGGATGCAGATCAAAAGCAATGGAAGGTAGAGGTGGCTGGGCTTACTGAAGGGCTGGGAATCCAGGTGGATGGGGAAGATATGTCAAAGGAAAGAACCAAGGGTATGTCCTAGAATTTGCACTGTGGATGTATGGTGCTGTGACTTACTTAGATGAGGATGACAGGAAGAACAGGTGTGGGGCAGATGCTAAGGGGAACAAGTGTTCCACATGTGATTGCATGAGAGGAGATGAGACGTAAAAATGCATATATGAGTCCAGGAACTGTTGAACAGATCAGATCTGGAATTATAAATCTGGCTGTCATCTCATGAAGAAAAGGTGATCCATGACCAGAGAGAAGTTATTCACAATTCTATATCCAGCAATAAAAAAATAAATAAAAAGATATCCCATTGATATCGCTATTAACACTACCAATGTCAATCCCATTCTTGTATTACCATTGTTGTCATCAGGATCACCACCATCATCAGCAATACAATCATCACTATCACCAGCACCATGATTGTTATCATCACCATAATGACCTCTCATTACCTCACCATCACACTTCACCATTCTTCTCATCACTACAGTCATCACTCCCATCATCACTGTAGCAACCAGCATCTGCATCACCATCACCATAGCAACCACCATCTCCATTGTCATCACCATAGCAACCACCATTACCATCCTTATCACCATAGCAACCACATCATTCTAATCAGATACCATCATCAGCATTGTTATCATTGTCATCAATGTTATCACCACCTCTCCCACCATCAGTGTCACTAGTAACGCCACAATTTTCATTCTCATCACAACTCTTACAACCATTTATCACCACTTCCTCCATCACCAACTCTATCACCATCAGAAACCGCAGACCTGTATCTCGATTACAGCTACCCTTGCGTTATCATTTCTATCACCGTCATCCTCCTCATCATCTGTTATTAAATGTTATTCTTTCTGTAAAGCTGAAAGCCCTTGATCTGTGACCTCACTCATCTGCACTGTTCTTCACTGTTGCTGAGTTCACTTTTCCTACTTTACAGGTCGAGGGAGGCCTCAAAGAGGAGGCCTTGTTGAGAAACAGTCATGGAGTAAAGCATGGAGGTTTTGGTTTGGGCAATGAGGATTAGAATCAAGGATCCCTAAACTTTGAAGATGAGTTTAGGAAAAAGGTCACTCTCTGAATCCATGTAAAGCAAATGAAACCAAGAGAAACTGCAAGGATATAGATTAGTCTGCTGTTAACAAAAGATCTCAAGTTCAGTGGCTTCAGCAAAATGGAAATCTCTCTCTCTGGCATGGCTGCTTAATGTTGGCAAGGACCCAGACATTCTCTCATGTTTCTCCATCATCCCCAACATGCAGTTTCATGCAGTTAAAGAAAGATGACAAGTTTGTCTGTTGGGTCTGCTTTCCAAGCAATGGAAATGGAGTAAAGGGAAGAGAAGGTCTCTCTCCATCTCTCCATCTCCTTTATCTCCTTTATCTCCTTTAAGGGTGTGACTCTTGATTGGAAAATAATGGGACCCTGCAACTTGGAATGGGGACAGGTGGGAGGAACCTGATGAAGCTGGGGACACTGAGTTTGTAAACTCTAATGAACCTTTTTTGCCAGAAGGAACAGCTTCCCCATCCCCTGTAGTGGCAACATCCCCTCCCTGACCCATGCTGCCATCAGCCTTTACACCTTTGTCTGAGGAGATTAACCCTGCACTGCCTGAGGCAACAGTGATGGCCTCACCTGTGGCAGTTGCCAGGCAAGATAACGTTGTTTCTCCTCAGAAGCCATTGTCAACACCTCTGTTTGCTTCTAGACCTGTAACTAGACTGAAGTCCTGGTGGGCTGCTAGAGGTGAGGTTGAGAGTGTGACCCATGAGGAGGTGCACTACACTCAAAAAGAACTGTTTGTGTTCTCCAGTTTATAAAAACAGCTATCTGGAGAACATCCATGGGAGTGGATATTAAGGGTATGGGATAATGGTGGAAGGAACATAGAGTTGGATCAGGCTGAATTTATTGACTTGAGCCTACTAAGTAGGGACTCTGAATTTAATATTGCAGCTTGAGACGCTCAAAGAGGTTCTGTTTGCTTGGTTAGCTGAACTATGGATTAAAAGATGGCCCACTGTGAGTTAGCTGGAGATGCCTATCTCCCTTGGCTTAATGTAGAGGAAGGGATCCAAAGGCTTGGGGATATGGGGATGGTGGAGTGGATTAGTCACTTCAGACCTACTCATCCCAGCTGGGAGGGTCCAGAAGATATACCCTTGACCAATGCCTTATGAAATAGATTTGTAAGGGCAGCACCTGCATCTTTGGAGAACCCTGTAATTGCTCTTCTCTGTATGTCAGATCTAACAGTGGGAACTGCAGTCACTCAACTACAAAATTTAAATACAATGGGAATAACTGGATCCTGAGGTGGCAGGGGCCAAGTGACAGCACTCAACTTTCAAAGGCAAGGTGGGTGTACTACCATAATGGACAGCAGAGGCAAAACGGCAATCAGAATAGTCTCATTTAGAACTTTGGCATAGGCTAATTAATCATGGTGTTCCTAGAAGTAAAATTGATAGGAAGCCTACTGTATTTCCACTTAAATTATGCAAGAAGAAAACTTCTAGGTTGAACGGACAAAAGGTTAATTTGAATTATAAAAACAGAGAATCATGGTCCTTCAATCAATTTCCCAACTTAATTTACAGACCCAGCCAGTTTATTGACCCAGAACCTCTTGAATGAAGGGGAGGCCAGGTCCCCTTGAGGAAGGACCCCACTACATTACCCACAATTTATTCAGTGAATCTTTCTCCCATCCTTCCCCAAGGAGACCTCCGGCCTTTTACCAGGGTACCTGTACACTGGGGAAAGGGAAATGATCAGACATTTGGGGGACTACTGGACACTGGCTCTGAGCTGACATTGATTCTGTGGGACTGAAAATGTCATTATGGTCCTCCAGTTAAAGTAGGGGCTTATGGAGGTCAGGTAATTCATGGAGTTTTAGCTCACATCTGACTTACGGTGGGTCCAGTGGGTCCCCAGACTCATCCTGTGGTCATTTCCCCAGTGCCAGAATGCGTAATTAGCGTAGACACACTTAGCAGCTGACAGTACCCCCACGTTGGCTTCCTGACTGGTAGGGTAAGGGCTATTATGGTGGGAAAAGCCAAATAGAAGCCATTAGAGCTGCCTCTACCTAGAAAAATAGTAAATAAAAAACAATATCACATCCCTGGAGGGATTATGGAGATTAGTGCCACCATCAAGGACTTGAAAGATGCAGGGGTGGTGATTCCCACCACATCCCTATTCAACTCTCCCATTTGGCCTGTGCAGAAGACAGACGGATCTTGGAGAATGACAGTGGATTGTCGTAAACTTAACCAAGTGGTGACTCCAATTGCAGCTGCCATACCAGATGTGGTTTCATTGCTTGAGCAAATTAACAATCACCTGGTACCTGAGATGCAGCCATTGACTTGGCAAATGCCTTTTTCCCCATTCCTGTCCATAGGCTCACCAGAAGCAGTTTGCCTTCAACTGGCAAGGCCAGTAATATACCTTTACTGTCCTATCTCAGGGGTATATCAGCTCTTTGGCTTTGTGTCATAATCTTATTCACAGAGACCTTGATCACTGTTCACTTCTGCAAGATATCACACTGGTCCGTTACATTAATGACATTAGGCTGATTGGATCCAGTGAACGAGAAGTAGCAAACACACTGGACTTATTGGTGAGACATTTACGTGCCAGAGGATGGGAAATAAATCCGACTAAAATTCAGGGACCTTCTACCTCAGTAAAATTTCTATGGTTCCAGTGGTGTGAGGCCTGTAGAGATATTCCTTCTAAGGTAAAGGATAAGTTGCTGCATTTGGCCCCTCCTACAACCAAGAAAGAGGCACAATGCCTAGTAGGCCTATTTCGATTTTGGTGGCAACACATTCCTCATTTGGGTGTGTTACTCTGGCCCTTTGTCAAGTGAGCCGAAAGGCTACCAATTTTGAGTGGAGTCCAGACCAGGAGAAGGCTCTGCAACAGGTCCAGGCTGTGGTGCAAGCTGCTCTGACACTTGGGCCATATGACCCAGCAGATCCAATGGTGCTTGAGGTGTCAGTGGCAGATAGGGATGCCATTTGAAGCCTTTGGCAGGCTCACATAGGTGAATCGCAGTGGATGCCTCTAGGATTTTAGAGCAAGGCCCTGCCATCTTCTAAGATAACTACTCTCCTTTTGAGAAATAACTCTTGGCTTGTTACTGGGCTTTGATGGAAACTGAACGTTTGACTATGGGTCATCAAAGCACCATGTGACCTGAGCTGCCTATCATGAATTGGGTGCTTTCTGACCCATCAGGCCATAAAGCAGCAATCCATCATCAAATGGAGGTGGTGTATACGTGATCTGGCTCGAGTAGGTCCTGAAGACACAAGTAAGTTACATGAGGAAGTCACTTAAATG